CGGTTTCGGACAAACAAGGAGTCAGGTAATTCACTTAGGAACTCTATGTTTGTTACAGACTTTTATCTTGTGTCCCAGAACTAACAAGCATCTTTAACCATTAACTCACATTTAATCACAATTGGGGCTAGGGGAGTTTTATGATTACAAAGTTATGCAGTCCCACAACACGGCGAATTACAGGAAAGGTAGAAAAATGAGACTGCAAAGAAGCTGAGCTTTGGGTCTGATCAGTGCTGCTCTGGGCAGCAAAGACAAAAACCCCCGGTTTACCACACGTTTTATTCAGTACATCGGGAGAAACAAAGTAACAAATGACTTGCAGAGAGTTCAGTAGTTCACATTGGGATAAACAAGGTGTAACAAAAGGCTGGGGGGCAGTGGAAATCTAAGGACGTTGAGGAACTATGCAGATGAAGATTTGGTTCCTCCCTGGCGTCTTCCGCAGGTGTGGTCTTGTCCTGGAGATTACGGCATCGGGGGATCACTGAGGTCTCAGTTGTGACCAGAGGCCAAAATACAATTATGTCTGGAATGTCGGAGCTGGTCTTTAGGCAGGAGAACTAGGCCTACTCAAATGATTTTTCCCAAGAATTATGTAGCATTGCTCCCAACAAATTACCACAATATATATAAATGTTATTAGTAGCTGGATTACTTTTAGCATAAGAGTTGTTATAAAATTAGAGATGTCAAGTAAAAACTCCCGTCTAAAAGTTCAATAGAAAGTGTCAGGGCCAGGGATTTAGCTCAGTGGTGCCGTGCCTGCCTTGCAAATGCAAGGTCCTGAGTTCAATCTCCGGTACCATGGGGGGGAAAAAAAAAGAGAGAAAATGTCAGCATCAGGACCGGGGATGTAGCTTAGCAGCATAGCACCTGCCTGGCAAATGGGAGGTCCTGAGTTCGATCCCCAGTACCAAAAAAAAAAAAATCAGCACATGCCTTTTTTTCCTCGTAAAAGTATTTAGCATCCTCATCTGATGATTACACATTGTGTCTATGTATTATGTACCCCACAAATAAGTGCAACTCTTGTTTCAATGAAAAAACTAGACTTTTTGAAAAGACAAAGGCTGAGTGCTTGGGGCCTCGTTACCAATTTTGGGCAGCAGTCAGCTTTTCCACGTAGAACCTGGGAGTGAGAGATTCAGAATTGAACCCCGTTTCCCACTGTTACAAATCACTTGAGATTTATGTGTGAACTTTTTTTTCAGCTGTATCTTTTGGCTTTGTTTTATATTTGGTTTTCTGAGGCAGGGTTTAACTGTGTAGTCCAGAGTACTCTTGAACTCACTGTATAGGTAGCTCAGACTGGCCTGGAATTCACAGTGATCCTGTCTCAGCCTCCCAAGTGCTGGGATTATATGTGTGCACTACCACGCCCAGCTTTATCTTTCAGCCCTGTGAAGCACCTTATCGTTAAAAGCGATGGCTAACAATTTTATCAACGAGACAAACCCTCACTTCTCACCTGTCATGTATTCATTGGGGATCTCAGTACACTTGTCAAGAAGTCTGATGTGGAACAGTCTTCTTGAAGTATGGTAAAATTGGGAGTTTCTACATTCATAAGAGCTTTCCGCTTCATTCAGTGCGTTAATGAGAGAAATGCCCAGGTTGTTACAGCAGAGGATGGTAGAGTGATTGCTTGACAGGTTCTGGATATTAACACGTTCTGGTTGGTACATGTATGGATGTCCCATGAGGTGGCTTGTACCACTGGTGGTACCAGTGGATCTCATCACTTTTCTCAGTCTTTTTACTGATTAAAAAGTCTAGAAATGAACCAGATCTAAGTTGCTTGAATGTGAATAATTACTACCCAAATATGAAGATTAATCCTATTCATATTAATTAAAAATTATTACAATAACCAACAAATTTATTTCATTAAATTAAAAGAAATTTTCTTACATTCATGAATAGTTTATCAATAATTCCCTAAATTTTAATATGAAAATGTTAATAGGTTCCCCATTTGCTAGTGTATATAATATGCATTTACAAATTACCACAAATTAGCTATTTTTACACCATTTTAATGTTTCCTTAAGGAACTGTAATAGGGTGACAGCCGGTCTGCTAAATCAGTGCCTTTCTTTGCATTACTGTAACCAGAGACCCCTGCGAAGTGGCACCAGTTATCCCAGATTCCTCTGGGGTTACCTGGTACATATGTTTGCAGGAAGATTTTTCTTCAGTATTCCTGTTTTAGACTTTCCCTGTGCTCTTGTGCTGTAGACAGAGGATTTTTCCCGATTCTGATCCTTCCTCTAAATGTAGGTTGCTGTTGCTTGTTACTCAGTGCTTGCTAGCCTTACACAGAGAAAGGGAATTAGGGAATTTTTAGTCTTGGCCAGGCTTTAGCCTACTTGTATGCTCTTTGTAATCTCTGGCTCATTTTCGTGTTTTGAGGTTGTTTTTTTTTAAAGGTTTTTTGTAGTTTGTTTTTATTGAGAATTGAAGCCAGCGATCACTGAGCGAAATTCCTAACCCTTTTTCTTCCTGGCTGTGTTACCCTGCCGGCCTCTAACTTGCAATCTTCCCGTCTCACCCTCCAAAGTAGATCGGATGACTTGTGCCACCACACCTGGCTATTTGAAAAGTTTGTGGATTTTTTTTGATAGCTTTAGATCCTCTAATACTACATGTTATGGCTTGTGTCTAAATGTTTTCCCAAAGCCTCATGAAGTCATAGGTGGGGCTTTTCAGAGGCGGCTGAATCTGGAGTATGGGATGCTGGGATAAAGGCTGTGTGATTACTGAATTAATCCACTGCTTGGTTTGGCATAGTTCTGGGTAGGATAAAGGGTGTCCCACCCTTGGTGTGAGTGCTACCCACCCTGAAGGCAGGTAGTTTGGATAAGATATAAGGGACAGAAGAGGGTTGCTGTTTGTTGCTAGTAGCTTGCTGCCTTCTGCCTGCTGTGAATTGCTTCTCCTCTGCAATGCGCCTCTGCCATGCCACCCACCCTTGGAGACAGCCAACTATGAACTGAAAACTCTACAGACTGTGAGCTAAATAAACATTTTCTCCTTTAACTTTGGGTGTCAGGTATTTTGTCTCAGTAACAAAAATAACTAAGACACTACAGTACTTCCAAAAGCCTTCATGCATGCTAAGAATGTGCTCTGTCACTGAACTATATCCCCACACCCTGCATTTTCATCCTTCTTTCCTCACATGACAGGTACAGGTTTCATTGTAGTTGGGTGGTGGTGGTGGTGGTGGTGGTGTTGGTGTTGGTTTTGATTTTTCCAGTACTTAGGGATTGAGCCCAGGACATTGTGCATGCTAGGCACATACTCTACCACTGAGGTGCATCCTCAGCCCTTTTTTGTTTTGAGACAGGATCTCATTAAGTTGGCAGCTGGCCTTGAACTTGGGATTCTGTTGCCTCAGCCTCCTGAGTAGTTGGGATTACCAGAGTATGTCACTATGCCCAGCTCAAGTTGCCTTCTTGCAAGGTTTTGTGTTTGTTTTAGCCAGTTGCTTATGTACATTATCAGTCCTGAACTTCTTTGAATTTACTTTGTACTTAAGGTCTTATGAATTCAAACTATAGACCTGCAGTGAGGAATGGGTTGTGGTTCTGAATTCTCAGGTGAAAGGATTTTTATTTAGTTTCTCCCCTACCCCTCTTCTGTTACTGTCAAGCAGATTTTCTTCCTGTCTCTTTCTGCTTATACCTTACTCATCTTTTCTAATTACATGGCTTTTAGGGATGAGCTTTATGAGTCAGTCTCCTGTTGGATTTTCCAACTTTGGTAAATTACCTATACAGTATTTTCTCCAGTTTCATGCTTTTAACCATCAAAGTGAAAAGTTTTTATATTTGAACAGTTTTTATTTTTTTAAGATCCCACATTATTTTTTTTATTTTTTTATTTTTATTTTTTGGTACCGGGGATCAAACTTGGGACCTTGCCCTTGCGAGGCAGGCGCTGCAACCACTGAGCTAAATCCCCGGCCCTCCCACACTGTTTTTAATACAACATTTAAAATATATGATATTTTATTTAGAACCTTTCGAGGATATTTAATCCTTAACACTCACGCAATAAAAGTCATTTTTCTCTGCATTTGATACTTCTAATATTTTGAAATTTAGAAATATATTTTCTAAGTTAAACTTACAGTTCTACTTTGAAAACCCTTTTGTTTAAATCTTTGCTTTTGCTCCTTAGTAAGATTTAAGAATCATTTAATATTGAACTTTCATCAAAACTGTTTCATCTCTTCAGGGAAATACGAAGTTCATGGACTTTTTAGTGACACTTGGATTTTTTTTTTTTTTTTTTTTTGGACACTTGGATTTTGAGTCCTGACTCACCCATTTGTGTCTCCACTTGAATAAATTACTTTTATGAGTCTTTATACTATCATGTATTAAGCTGAGCCTTTTTTTTTTTTTAAGATAGGGTCTCACTATGTAGTCCTGGCTATCCCTGAACTCGCTATGTAGTACAACTGGCCTAGAATGCACAGCGGTCCTCCTGCCTCAGCTTCCCGAGTGCTGGATTACACGTGTGTGCCACCGTGCCCAGCTTCATGCATTAAGATGAACACCAAAGAATAATGCATTTAAAACGTTTTTACCTTTCAACAGGTCATTGAAATCATGACTGTGATTGTTTGCTCAGTAAAATAAGCACATAAATAGGCAGTTTGTAATTAGACCAGCTTAGAAGTTGTAATCATTGAATGTGTGGTGTACTTAGCAACCTTCACTTCTGGTAAGTGACTTTACTTAGAGGGTATGTGTTTATGTGTGCAAGAGAGACTGTTTCCTGAAAGGAAGCTGTGGTCTCCAGGTCTTTATAATCACATCGTCTTTAATCTTTGAGCACATGAGCTTTATCTTATGTGGACAGTTTTCTTGAAGCAGTTTCTTGCCAGAAGTAAATGAAGCTTCCTGATGAGCCTTTTAAGACTCCATAGACTGTCAGTAATATGGAAAAATTGGATATTTAATCAGGAATGTGAACATGTGTTTCAGGTAGAGAATTCTAAAGATAATGAAGATAGCATTCTGCAAAGAGAAATTCCTGCCAGACAGTCTCGACGAAGATTTCGAAAAATTAATTATAAAGGAGAACGCCAAACCATAACTGATGATGTGGACATCAGTAGCTATCTTTCTGTGAGTATATTTAGGAAAAATTTCATGGATCTTCCTTAATTTCATGTACAGTATCTTTAGTTGATGGTTTTTGGTAATATCAGGACTTTAGTCTATATATACAAGTTTTGGACAAGTAATTATACCTATATAATTTTTTTAAATACTACTTGGTTAGAAATACTCTTACAGTGAGAATTTTGCTTTTTTGTTTAAATCATATAAAAGACGTTTTTCTCTTTTTGTTTTTTTTTAGAAATATTTGTGGGATTCATTACCTAAATGATTTGTTAGGGCATAGATTAGAATCCAAAAACTCAGGTAATAGGCTCATGGGGAGCATTTCTCCTAATATGATTAAAGGCACACAAAACAAAAACAGCAGTTTGTGTGTGTGTATGCGTGTGTGTGATATTATATATACTATATGATGTACATGTATTACATATAAAATATACATATGTATATAAATCAGTACAGAAATGGGCCAATGTGGAAGGTATGTTTTCACACACAAATACTCAGAAAGAAGCAGATGAAATATTAATTTTTGTAACACTGGAACTGTCAGTTGTTTCTTTAGAATTTGATGGTTATAGATAAATTCTTTTTAGACTGAAAATAGATAAATTAGGGAACAGGATAATCTAAGAATGAACATATCTATGTGCTTTTTGGTTTTGGTTTTGGTTTTGTTTGCTTTGTTTACTGGAAATTGAACCCAAGGCCACTGGGCTACATAGTGAGTTCAAAGCCAGCCTGAACTACACAGTGAGACCCTGTGTCAAAAAAACAAAAAAAGATACACCAAGTGTACAGCTTTTTCTTCTCGGTATCCATGTGTGTAAATGATAATAAAGGGAAGAAGGATGTTGATAGCAGCAGAATTTTCAAGGATATCCTTGGCCTTTTGGTGGTCAAAAATAAAAATACACTTATCCCATGTTCAGAATAGGAAAGATTTAGGAAGGTACTTATGATAGAGTATTCGATTTACGGCAGCTTCTAAAGATTTTGTCACATCTGCCTAATTTCACTGATTGAATGCATTCTATTTCTGACAACAAATACCAGTCGCAAAATGTATTACTGCATCTATAGCCACACAGGGTTCACTTCTTGTTCTTATTATTTTTGTTGTTGTTGTTGTTCTTATTAGTTAACAAATTTTATACCATCTATTTCCCTACCACTAATTAATATAAGTTTACTTGTTTTACCTTATTACGTGTGTCTGTTTGAAAAGTTAAAATTTGATTCTCACCACCCATGTAACTGTTGATAGGCATTTCATATGTTCTTTTCTGTTTGTTTTTGTCTTTTATTTGTTTGGTTGGCTGGTTCATTTTATTTTTTGAGACAGGGTCTTGCTTTGCAGTTCAGGCTGGCCTTGAACTCACGGTGTAACCCAGGCTGGTCTTACGGCAATCCTCCTGCCTCAGCCTCCCGAGTTCTGGGATTACAAGTGTGTGCTTCCACGTCCAGCCTTTCATATATCCTTTGATAAAGCTTTTGAACATGTCAGTAGATATGTAAGTTTGTTTTGATAACTTTTGAAAACTCAAAAATACGTTTTCTCTTTAAAATCTAAATATATCATGTCAAAATCCTTGAAAGCTGTTAGATGATTTTTTAGACCATTATTCTTAATGGTTATGTAGTACTTCATTGTAACAGCATGCCATAATTTATTTGGCCCCCCAGTATTTGGTCATTTACATTGTTTCTGTTTTTTCAGTATTTTAACTTTTTTTGGTATTGGGGATGGAACTCAGGACCTTGTGCTTGTGAGGCAGGCGGCAGATCCACTGAGCTAAATCCCTGGCTCTCAGTATTTTATTTTTGATGAGCATGTTAACTGTTCCTATTAATGCGTTCAATGGGATATTTTAACACTTGCATGCAGCATGCCCTGGCCAAATCCAGCCCCCCTTTATCTTCAGTCCCCCAGTGTCCCCACCTCTCCCAGCATGCAGTAAGTCGCATTTTACACTCAAATGGACTTCTTGTCTTCTCCGTGTGAGAGAGGATATGCAGCACTTGTCCTTCTGTGTCTGGCTTATCCACTGGGGTACTTAAGCTTATCTGGCCTCACTGTTTTACTGCAGAAGACAGGGCTCCATTTTCCTTCATGCTGGATAACACCACCCCTGTTATATGTGAATGATGCTCAGTATTATGTATACAATAATACATGTATCATTTTATTCACTCATTCATCTCTTGGTTGGTACCTAGGCTGATTCCACATCCTGTATTGTGAATAGTGCCACAATGAGAAAGGAGATGTGGGCTGTCTTTTTAGATGCTTATTTCACTTCCTGAATGTATACCCGGAAGTGAGGTAGCTGCACCATATCATAGGATAGATCTATTTTTAGTTTTTTGAGGAATTTTTTTTTTCCAGTACTGGGGATTGAACTCAGGACCTTGGACTTGCAAAGCAGGTATGGCCTCACTGAGCTACATCCCTGGCCCTTGTTGAAGAATCTCAATACTGTCCTGCTATTTCTCATTCCTACCAACAGTATGTGAGAGTTGCTTGCTTGTCTGCATCTCATCAGCATTTTGTTTTAGAGATCTTTTTTATATTAGCCATTCTCCCTGGGATGAAATGATACCTCATTGTAATTTTGATGTGCATTTCTTAGTTGACTGATGACATTGAGCATTTAAAATATATATTTGTGGAGCATTTCTTGAGTGAAGACAATGATACATGTATCATTTTATACATAATACTGTGTGAAGACAATGATACATGTATCATTTTATACATAATACTGTGTATCGTTCACATTCTATTTGAGACTCAGTTGGCTGTAGATGCCTAGTATTATTCCTGGGAGTCTTTTTTTTTTTTTTTTTTTTTTGGCGGTGCCGGGGATTGATCTCAGGTCCTTGCGCTTGCGCAGCAGGCGCCGAAACCACTGAGCTAAATCCCCAGCCCCATATTCCTGGGAGTCTTATTCCATTGGTTTATGTGTCCATGGTTTTTTGGGGTTTGTATGTGTGTATGCTGGGAATCGAACTCAGGGCTTCAAACTTCCCAGGCAGGCTCTGCACCCTGAGCTACATCCCCAGCCCCTATGTGTCTGTTTTTATTCCATTACCATTCTACTTTTGTTACTGTTACACTATAGACATCTTAAATCAGGTAGTATTGTAGCGCCTCCAGATTTGTTTTCTTTGTCCAAGATTGCTTACTATTCAGAGACTTGTCCTTCCATGTAAATTTTAGGACTTTTTTCTAGTTTTGTGAAAATGTTGTTACTTTGGTGTGGACTACATTGAATCTGTAGATCACTTCAATTCTCCCAATATTATGTACATGGAAGATCTTTCCATTAAATGTGTGTCATATTCAATTTCTTTCTTTCTTTTTTTCAATTCTCTTCCATGATCTTTTGCAGTTTTCATTGTAGAGGTCTGTCACTCTTTTGGTTAAATTCATTTCTAGTTTTGTTTTGTTTTTTTGTAGCTATTGCAAATGGGATTGCTTTCATGATTGCATTTTCAGCAAGTACAATATGGTATACAAAAATACTAATCTTTGTATGTTCATTTTGTATTCTGCAGCTTTACATGATTCATTTATCAGTTCTAATAGGGCAGTCTTTAGGCTTTTCTATATATAGAAAATCATATCATCTGCAAACAAGGATAGTTTGATTTTCTCCCTTACTATTTGTATGGCTTTTCTTTCCCTTGCCAGATTGCTCTGGTGCAAACCCAAAGACCTTATTGTATAAGAATAATGAGAATGGATATCATTGTTGGTTGAAATGCAGAAAGCATCTGCCCATTCAGTATGTTACTGGCTGTGTGTTTGTCATATGTAGCCTTTATTACGTTGAAGTCTATACCTAATTTGTTTGGGATTTTTATCATGAAGTGATGTTGCATTTTATCAAATGGCCTTTTTTGCGTCTACTGAGATGATGATTTTGTCTTTAATTCTGTTGATGTGAAGTAGGATTATGTTTATTGATTTGCTTATGTTGAACCATCCTTGCATCCTAGCATTCACCGTGCTTAATCATGGTGAATAATCTTTTTCATGTGCTGTTGGATTGTGTTAGCAAGTATTTTGTTGAGAGTTTTTCGGAGTACTTTGAGAATATTGAAATTAGATCTTGAAAGGTTTTGTAATATTCAAGGGAGCCATACAGTCCTGAGGTTATCTTTGTTGGGGGATTTTCTTTTTTACGGATTTATTCTCATTACTGATTTTTATTTACTGATTAATCTTATTACTTGTTATTAGTCTCTGTCCTCATGGTTAAATTTTTATAGATCACTTATGCTTCTTTACCCATTTCTTTTAAATTTTCTAATTTGTTAGCTTACAGTTTTTCATCATAATCTATAATGATCTTTGTATCTCAGTGGTATCAGTTGTAATGTCTCTTTTCACCTGACTGTTTTTTTCTTGGTAGTCTAGCTAAAAGTTTGTTGATTTTTATCTTTTAAAGAAACCAATTCTTTAGTCCGTTGATCTTTTGTATTATTTTAAAGTCTATGTTGTTTATTTATGCTCTGATATTTATTCTTTCTTTGCTTCTACTAATTTTGGTTTTGGTTTGTTCATGCTGTTCCAGATCCTTGATCACACCAACTACAGATGTATCATTGGGTTGTTTGTTTGAAACCTTTCTGTTCTCTTGTTGTAGCCACTTACTGCTATAAACTTCTCTTTGAGTAATGTTTTTACTGTATCCTGTAAGTTTTGATATGTTGTATTTTTATTTTCATTTGTTTTGAGGACATTTTTAAATTTCCCTCTTGATTTCTTCAATGACCTAGTATTGAAAGCATGTTCTATAGTCTCGGTGTACTTACATAATTTCTAAGGTTTCTTTTTTGTTTATTTCTACTCTTAATTACATAGTTATCAGAAAAGACAGATTTCATTTTTTTAAAAAATTTCTAATGCCATGCCTGTGACACACATCTGTAATCCCAGCACTGGGGAGGCTGAGGCAGTAGCATTACTGCAAGTTGGAGGCTAGCCTGGACTA